TGGGGCTACAGATATGAGCACATTCCGGAATCATCTCCCTCTGACCAAGGCCAGCCAGGCCCAGGAGGAAGAAAGTGGGGAACAGCTCCTGCCCCCCACCTCAAAACAGCACCATGGGGAAGCCTCTCTGCAGGTAAACTGAGAAGGTTGGAGCCCAGCCTTACCATAGACCCCTACTTTCAGCCACAACCTTCCATTAGGGTGAGCAAAAAACCCCAAACTGGGGGGTCAGGGTCTGGCTCAGGCTGGGGGCCAACGCCCTCTCTTGTCTCCCTCCAGGCCACCCTGCTGGGTCTGGCAGCCCTAAACAAGGTTTACCCTGAAGTGCTGGCTCCGGGGGGCACAGCCCGTTTGACTCCTACATCCCCCTGGCCCCGCCCCGTCCCCTGGCCTTGGCATGCCCTCAGCAAGGTTAGCCCCCCTGGAGCCAAGGACCCTGGGACCCTGCTGCTGGAGGCACTGAGGTCCCCAGGGCTGCGGGCACTGGAAGCAGGGACAGCAGCCGAACTCCTGGACATCTTCTCGGGCCTGGAGGTCAAGGGCAAAGAGCTGGCTGAAGCAATAGCTGCTGGGAACCCAGGAGCACCTCTCCCCAGACGGGCAGCTGAGCTGCGGGAAGCCCTAGAGCAGGGTCCCCGAGGACTGGCCCTGAGGCTCTGGCCAAAGCTGCAGGTGGTGGTGACTCTGGATGCAGGAGGCCAGGCTGAGGCGCTGGCTGCCCTGGAGGCACTGTGGTGCCAAGGGCTAGCCTTCTTCTCACCGGCTTATGTTGCCTCTGGAGGTCAGTAAGACTCAAGGGTGGTGAGCTGGGGGCAGGGGCAGAGGGCACACAGCTAGCTGCCATACAGTAAGCCTTACATTATCATCTCATTTAATCTTCCCCAGCACTAGCAGCTCCATTTTACAGATAGAGAAACTGAGACTCAGAGAGAGTACACAAATTCACACAGCACCAGCATGTACCCCCAGGCCTACCACATCCAGCACAACTGCCTCTTCCAATTAGGGTCTTAGAGGCAGTGTACTGAGCCTGGGAAGCCACAAAGGGGGAATGGAAGGCAGCAGTAGAAACGGGTGCTCAGAGGATCAAGGCCCAGGGATGAGGGCCTAGCAGAAAGCAATGGGGCTTCCAGATGAAGAGGCTGCTTGCTCCCCACAGGGGTGGTGGGCCTGAACCTGTGGCCAGAGCAGCCCGGCGGGCTCTACCTCCTGCCCCCTGGTGCTCCCTTGATTGAGCTGCTCCCAGTCAAGGAGGGAGGCCAGGAAGAAGCTGCCACCACTGTCTTGTTGGCCGAGGCCCAGAAGGACAAGGAATATGAGCTGGTGCTGACTGATCACACCAGCCTTACCAGGTGATCATCTGCCCAACTCCTGGCTACCTCAAGCCCTCTGGGACCCTGTTGAGGGCCAGGCACATGAGCTAATAGGTCTTGGGCCTGACCTCACCCTCTTTCCCACCCTGTTAGGTGCCGCCTGGGTGATGTGGTACGAGTCGTTGGTGCCTACAATCAGTGCCCAGTCGTCAGATTCATCTGCAGGTAGGTGACCTTTCTGGGAGCTGAGCGGCCATCCTTGTACCCTGGGCTCCTCTGCCTCTTCTCTCTCGTCTCCAGGCTGAGCCAGACCCTAAGCGTGCGAGGAGAAGACATTGGCGAGGACATGTTCTCTGAGGTCCTGGGCCAGGCGGTGGAGCAGTGGCCAGGGGCCAAGCTGTTGGACCATGTGTGTGTGGAGAGCAGCATTCTGGGTAAGCTTCTCCATCAGCTCCCCCCCATTCTTGAGTTGACTTCCCCACAACACATACCCGTCCCGCTGGGAGACCTCTAGAAAAAAGTAAGACCCAGCCTCCTTTGCTGCTCCTAACAAAAGTCCTTCCCCATATCTAACTTCCATCCCTCCTGCTGCAGTCACTCTTTATTCCTTTCCTGACCTGTTTCAGATTTAGCACTAGGCTCTGGGTTGCTCTCTCTTTATCCACCTCTGCATCAAGAAACCCCAGTTTTCCCATGAACCTCAGAGGGGGGAAGAAGGTGGGGCAGTGGGCACTGGCTTTGGAAGCTGCCCCATTCACAGGAGTGTGTGTGGGGGGGTTTGTCTGCAGATTCCTCAGGAGGCTCTGCTCCCCACTATGAGGTGTTTGTGGCACTAAGGGGGCTGAGGAACCTGTCGGAGGAAAATCGAGACAAGGTAAGTGACACGGACAGGATCTGACTGCATGTCCCCTTCACTTGCACGTCCTCAGGTGCAGTGGGCACAGCAGAGTGATGGGGAGGTGGGACAGGCAGAGCTTTCCCAAGGCTCTGGGAAGGGGGGGGGTGAGTCCCACAGACATACGCATGTGCACATGAAACCCCCACCCACACGCACCAGGCACGGTCACACACACCTCGTCCGCACACCTCACAGCGGCTCTCCAGCCTCACTCAGGCCCTTCTGTTCTCAGCTTGACCACTGCCTCCAGGTAGCCGCTCCCTGCTACAAGTCCCTGCGGTTCCGGGGCAGCGTGGGCCCTGCCAGAGTCCACCTGGTGGGGACAGGGGCCTTCGGAGCACTCCGGGAAGCCCTCGCTGCCTCTCCCTCATCCCCCTTCCCTCCTGAGATGCCCCGGGTCCTTAGGCACAGGCACCTGGCCCAGCTCCTGCAGAGGAGAGTGGTGTCCTGATGAGGCCTGTCCACTGTCCCCTCCACCCCCAGAAGCTGCCTCACTCTTTCCTCTGGGACCTCTCTGGAGGGGGGACCCTTGGCCAGGGTCTCTGATTCTATGTCATCTATCAGTTGCTCATCAGAACTGCTGGGCCCTAGGGAGGTCCAACCTAGTCAGCCAGTTCTGAGGAGGTGACTTCAGGGCTGTGGCTGATGCCAGCAGTGCCCTGCCCCAAGCCCCCTGGCCCACTCTGGAGGACACTGCTAAGGAGTCCCCGTACACACTGATGGCTTCTTTCTCTCCGCCCAGTGCGCATGCGCGGGTTGCCCAACTTGAGAGTTACTGTTCCCAGATGCGAGCCTCAGTCAGCAAGGAACAGGAGTTGTGAACCAACCTCAGCTTCATTGCCCCTCAGTGTGGCATTCCTGGAGTATATTCCACACCAGTTGCCCACAGTGGTAACCTCTCATTAACAGTTTTTATGACTGTCCTCCTGCCCCTCCCATTCCCAATCCCTTATGTGTTTTCTAGGATCACCTCCCAAATAAATCTCTTGCACCCAGATTCTTGACTCAGGGTCTACTTCTGGGAAAACTGTAGTGGTTCCTTTTGCTCTGCTCCTGCTGCAGCCTGTCCCCTCCCTTCCGTTCTGATCACCAGGGCTTTCTCCCCTCTAGCACTGGGTAGAGCGAGTGTGTGTGCGCTCAGGGGTCCTCAGGGACCCCTGCCATAGCCTAGGTCAACCCAGAAGACACAGAGGCCCCCTCCTCCTACCTCTCCCCATCCCAAGCTTACTGTAAATGTGAAGGGGCTCACCATTGTCCCTGTCCCTGGCTCAGCACAGTCCCTTTCTTGGCCCCACACCCACAAATCACTTCCATGGGCAGAGGCTATACTGCAAATCATAGAGCATCACAGCAGGAAGCAACCGCAGAGACCATGTGGGTCAACTGCCCATCTTACCAGCGGGGACACAGGCTTCCTGAGGTTGTGAGGTTTGCTCAGGGCTCAGCAGCCCCTCCTAAGTAATGCAGCACGTGTTTCTAAGTCTTCAATTCTGCCCCTGCATTACTTCTGGATCCCATGCCCTATATCCAGGCCCCTGCGCCCACCCACCCAGTCCCATGACGCCTTCCTACTGAAATCCTCCATGGCTCCCCAGCACCCACAGGATCAAGACTAATCAGCTTAGCCTCAAAGACCCTTTGACCCATCCCAGGCCTTGCTTACCTGTCCAGCCACTTTCTCCTCTGAGGGAAGCTGTGACTATGAGGACCACACCTCACTAGCCCACATGAGTTAAGCACTGTCACCTCCAAGTCTTTGCTTAAGTTATCCCTTCAGCAGAATGCCTTCTCCCCTGACCTTACCTGGTAGAAATCCCCGTTTCATGAAAGGCCTTTTCAGAATCCTTTCTCACACTGAGCTACCATTATATGCTGGGTCACCCCTGCCCCCAACACACACCTGGACTTTGTAGCTCCTTGAAAACTGGGCATGTCCTATGCATACTGTCACTCCAGAGCCCAGTGCAGGGCCTGACACAGAGCAGGTGCCCAATAGACAGTGCTTTGAATAACAGAGACTCCAGCGTGGTGGCTCACTCAGTGCTGATGGTGGGATGGGACCCCATCCCTCCCCTCCAGGAAGGAAGTTGGGGAGGTTGAAGGACAACACCAGGTGCTTTTTTCCCACTGCCCAGGTTTGGTTTTCAAGATTTTCCATCTTGGAGGTTAACTGAAGGGGCAGAAGGAAGAGAGCTGGTGGGGGGAGAGCCAGCTCAGAAATCTTTTTCTTGAAGAAAGAAGGCCCTGGAGCCTGACAGACCCCAGGGGCAGAGACAAGGAACACACACACACACACACACACACACACACACACACCCTGCAAAGAATGGGTTTCATGGTTGCCTCCTCTCCTAGCCCTAATTAGCAGCTGCCCCTCCCTACATTGTCCCAGGCCAGCACCCCAGCCAAGGCCTCTTTTGTGCTCCCAGATTCCTGGGTGCAAGGTGGCCTCATTAGTGCCCGGAGACGGTCCCATCTCCAAGGAGCAGGCAGACAAACAAGGGGGGGGGACCAGGGGCACAGTGATTCGACTCCAGCCTCTGAGTGCCTTGGCGGTCATTCCTTGGGCCCAGCCTGGAGACAGCCCCCCTATATGAGGCTAATCTTAGATTTGCCTTTGTCTAGCCTCAGAGTGGACGCAAGTGCCTGTCTCTCCCCCACCACCTCAGAGCACTATAAACCCCAGGCCCCTGATAGCAGGTCACATTCGACGGCCTCAAAGTTCCTAGCTATTTGGACCACTGGAGACGACACCTTTCCCTGCTACTCCACTCTGAGCTCCAGACACCATGAACACTCACTCTACAAAGGTAAAGGCCCAGGGATGGAGGGGGTGCATCATACCAGAGGGAAATAAGAGTGCCTGCTCAGGGGCTGGAAGAAAGGCTGAAAGTGTCTCCTCTCTTGGTCTTCTCCTATGCAGACTCTGAGGCAGGCAGGGGACTGGGTGGACTCTTGGCTGAGAACCTGCCTTGGCTAACATTTGACTGTACCCTGTTCTCCTAAGAGCCCATGTTTATTGAGCACTTACTATTCACCAGATGCTGTGTTTGCACCTGTCATCTCAATTAATTCTCCCAGCAGCCCTGCACAGTAGGGATTAATACCCAGTTCACAAGTGAGGAGGCTGTGTCCCCTGAGAGGGTAGGAAACTGGGCCAAAGCCAGGTTCAGCGTCCCCTGCAAAGGAGCAGGCAAACAAGACAATGACTTGGATCCTGCTAGTCCTTGATTCGCATGGGTTTGACGCGGTGGGTAAGGGGTAGTGGGACTAAATAGAGCCTGTTTCCCTGAGTGCACAAACTTCTGGTGCAGACAGACGCAGACACACCTGTTTTCAGGTGGATTGTTAAGTACTCTAATAAGGGAACAACGAATTAAGGATACCCAGAGGAGACGGGGATTTATTCTTCCCGGGGGGGGGGGGCTCAAAGAGCTTCCCAAAGGAGATGTGCTGGGAAGGAAGGATGAGCGGGTAAAGAAGCCAGATGAGCCCTTCTCAAACCCTTCACGCAGCTTTGGGAAGTTGCAGGAAAACGAAAAGACAGAGAGGGAGGGGTGCAGACCAGGAGGGGGCGCGCAACCATCTGGGCAGGGCCTGGGTGTAGGAGCTGGACGCAGGCGCGGCGGGAAGACCCCCAGCACCCGGTCTCCACCTCCTTAGGTCTCCTGGGCCGCCGTGACGCTGCTGCTGCTGCTACTGATGCCGCCCGCGCTGCTGTCGCCGGGGGCAGACGCGCAGCCCCTACCCGACTGCTGCCGTCAGAAGACGTGTTCCTGCCGCCTCTACGAGCTGCTGCACGGCGCGGGCAATCACGCGGCAGGCATCCTCACCCTGGGCAAGAGGCGGCCAGGCCCCCCAGGCCTCCAGGGCCGGCTGCAGCGCCTCCTGCAGGCCAACGGCAACCACGCGGCCGGCATCCTGACCATGGGCCGCCGCGCAGGCGCAGAGCCAGCGCCACGCCCCTGCCCCGGGCGCCGTTGTTCCGCTGCGGGCGCCGCCTCTGTAGCTCCTGGGGGACAGCCTGTGGTCTGAACCCATGCTCAGACTATGTCCTGGCCCTGCCCTCTCTCCTCTGCCCGCCCGCGGTCAAACCCCAGAAAAAAAGTGCAATAAAGACGAGTCTCCGTTAATGTGGCTGGTCTCTGTTCCTGTGTGGTAGAGTCCTGCCCTCCAGGGGGCGTAGGAGTCTTGTGAACAGTAAAGTAAGGAGGGCCTGGACGCCCCGCCCTGGGACACCTCGGCTTGGGCGTCGTTGAACTGGAAACACTCTTGCATGGGGAGTTCCCAGAACAATGAACCATACAAGGCCGTGAGGTGCGGAAAGAACTACAGATGTGCATGTTTGGAGGGGAGGATGCAGGACACGTCCCTCGATGCTCTGCTGTATTGGCCCTTTACAGAAAGACATGAGAAAGAAGGGAGAGCAAGAAAGGCTGCACAGAGGAGCCTAATCAGCTGGGAAGTGTTGGGAGTAGAGCCTGTGGAGAAGGCAAGGAATATGAGGTTCAACATGAATCATCTAGAGCGTGGAGTAGAAGGTGTGGGGAGAGGTGAGGCACTGGAGCTGAGGCGGTTAGGTCGTGCAGCCCAGACAGTGAAGGCCCTCACAAATCCCCAGGCTTTGCACTTTATTCTGTAGGTAGCTGGGAGTCACGAGCTCTTATGCAAGGACGGGGCAAGCTTTTCCTGCAACTTTATCAGAACGCACGTGTTATGGGTTGAATTGTGCCTCTTCCCCAATTTCATATGTTGAAGTTATAACCCTCAGCACTTCCAAATGTGATCTTATTTGTAGGGTCGTTGCAGATGTTAGTTAAAAGGAGGTCATATTGGAGTGGAATGGGCCTCCACTCCAATATGACTAGTGTCCTTATAAATAGGGGGAATTTGGACATAGAAATGCACACAGAAAGAATCCATGTGAACATGAAGGCAGAGGTGGGTCATGTATCTATAAGCCAAAGATTGCCAGCCACCCTCCAGAAGCTAGAAGAGATGTGTGGAACAGGTTTTCCCTCACAGCCTCCTAAAGGAACCAATCCTGCCATCATCTTGAGCTTGGACTTCTAGCTTCCAGAACTGTGCGACAATAAATTTCTGTTGTTTAAGTACCCAGTTTGTGGTACTTGGTTACAGGAGCTCTGGGGAACTAATATAAACCCAAAAGTACAGACACAGAAAGGTGTGGCACTTTTAAGCAATCTAATGTGCGTCTCAGACTCTGGGGGGAAGGAGGGACACAAGTGGTTTGCCCTCTCCCGAGACCATCTTTCCATTTTCACTGGTTTTAGCTATTTTGTTCTGGGAAGCAGTCACCCTGAGCCTCCATGCTCAGCTGCCCCAGTAATTTTCTGCTTCTGTGGTAAAAAAAAAAAAGTCCTGTGTCTGGTCTTACCTGGATTCTTCTTGCTGCTGTACTGGTTAAATCTTGGAAAATATGGAGTTCAAAGTCCACCAGTTCAACTTTGGAGATTTGCAAACTGACTCTATCCATCTTGAAACTATCTTTCTCTTCCCCAAACTTTCTTCCATCCTCTCCTTCATTTGAATAGCAACGGAGAGAAGAGGGGTGAAATCAAGACAATAGGAAGAGGAAGAATAGGGAGAAAACTGCTCAACATATTTTGTGCCAACGACATACAATATGCTATTAAATTCTCACAACTGCATGGGGTAAAAATTATTAGCTGCATTTTACAGATGAGAAAAGTGAGGCTCAGAGAGGCCAAGTCACATATTTAGTTAAATGGCAAAGCGAGGGCTCTACCCGGTGGACTCCACAGCTCTTTTCATCCACCCTGCGGGGCTCAGAGGCAGAATTTGCCAGTGTGCCCTACGCAAACTGAGGCACAGCCTCTTTAACCCTTGCTGTCTCACGTTGGAGCACAGGTACCTGGGAGTGCTGCAAAATAGCTCAACTCCAGCAGGCAGCACTGTGAATCAGGTACCATTCCCAGCGTGGGCGGAACGCGGGGAAACCCGTGGGGCGGAGCCACAAGAAGCGCCAGGGAATCACGCCTGAGGGCGTGGCTACCCGGGAAGAGGCGTGCCTGACACTCAAGCCCCTCCCACCTCTGCTCCTGGTGGGCGTGTCTCGAAGTCTCTCTGCGAGAGACTCGCGTGGGCCGCTCCCCTCCCGAAGGAGGGCCGCGGAGGGAGGTTTGGGTGTCATTGGTGGCCCCTCCCCGTGCGGGGCCACGTGGCGGGCGCGGGCCGAGTCCCGGGAAAAGAACCTGGCCTGTGGGGAAAAGAACCACCGAGGCGGCGCCCAGCCGAGCCAAAAGCAGCGGGGTTCGGAGCAGAGAGGCGGCAGTGGTTAGAGGGATAGTAGGAGGCAAGCGGGCGCATGGGGCGCCCCGGCCCCATCGGCAGTGCGCGCCTTTGGGCCGGGCCGAGCTGAACGCTCCCCAGCGCCGTGGCTCCAACTCGCTCCCTGAGGCCATGCCGGTCATGAAGGGGTTGCTGGCCCCGCAAAACACCTTCCTGGATACAATCGCCACCCGCTTCGACGGCACGCGTGAGTGGGGCCGAGGCTGAGGCTGGGGGCTCGTGCCGGGAGGCAGGACTCCTCCGAGGCCGGCTTGGGTCTTTCGGATGTGGTGAGACCCGAGGCGAGAAGGGAGAGTGGAGTTGAGAGGGTCTAGGAACTCCCGAAACCGCGGTAAAGGAATAGGACTGAGCGCTCTGTGAGGGGAGATGGGGAGAGGGCAAAAAGTGCGGGGGGACAAGATAAGGGGTGTGACTGGAAGTAAGAAAGGCTCTTTGTGGGGCAAAACGGAGGAGAGGCCTTAGGAACGGCCCACTCCGGGGCAGAGCTCTGCTGTCTGGGGCCGCGTAAGGAGGTATCCGAGACGAGGAGGTCGGACGAACTGGTCAGGAGTCTAATTAATCCCTGACGGCTCCAGCATCCCCTCCCCCCAGGAAAAAGAGAGAGGGAGGGAGAGAGAGAAGATCAGACTTCAGCAAGACCTAGTTTAGATTAAGGTCACGCACCCCAAAATCGTGGCGCGTCTGTGTCTGAGGGAGGTGAGGCAGGAGGAGGGGGTGGTCCATGTGAGGAAGGGAACTCCCTGCTCGCCCACCCCAGTTTGGTTCCCAGGTTCAGCACCTTGGACAGCCACACTCCTCCTTGCCCGCCTTTCTCTTTTCCTACTTTGCTGCCTAGAGATCTCTGCCTGACCCTCTAGGCACCCTCACCGGGATCTGGAAGATAGAGGGAGGGGTACCTGAGGGCGGAAACTGAGCTGCTGGGGGCCCTACCCGCCTCCCCACCCTTCCTCCACACAGGCCTCCCTTGTTTCCATAGCGCCCATCACCAGGGCAACAAGCTCTGGGATGGAGGAAGGAGGCTGCTGCACAGGGCCCAGCACCTCCCAGACACCCTCAGTGTCCCCATCAGCCACCCCACCCCCAGACACTCACCCTTCCTAGCGCCCTGGTACTGGTTGTGTCTCCAGCCCCTTCCCTCAGCTGAGATTCTGTCCCTGCATGGCCCATAGAGCCCCTCCCTCTGTGGCCTCCCACCCACTGGAACTGGAGGGAGCTAGCTCAGGACCCTGCTGCTGCGGTTGCTGGAGCCACAACATCATCGCCCAATCCTGTCAGACTTTGAGTACTTGAAATTAGGTAAAGGGATGCTAAAAAGAGGTCCTTTCTTGGGAGGCAGGGAATGAGGACTCTACTCATTACTGTCTCTCTCCTCCCACAAAGGAGATTTGTGAGTTTGGGTCATCTCTGCCTTTTTGTTTCCTATCAATAAAATGGGTGTTATATCACCAAAATCTTTGCCCTCTCCACTTTCTAACTGTATGACAGGGTAGTGGCTATGGACGTGCTTTGAAAGCTGTGCAAGTGTGGGGGAGCCATTTCACCTTCTCGCCGTAGCACAGACTATGTTACCAGAGGTTTTACCCAGATCACTCATGTAACTCTCACAAGGACCATGTGAGGAAGATATATTGTCCCCCACTTTGCAGATAAGGAAGCTGAGACACAGAGGAGTTAATGAACTTGCCCAAGGTTACCCAATCAGTAAGCAGCAGAAGGGGTGTGCTGGAGCCCAACTCACCATGCTCCCACAGTAACAACCCACTAGCTTGAAGGCAGAGGGATGAACTGCATGAACTCTTGGGGTTCTTTCAACAATCCCCTAGCAGTCCCTGTTCCAGTTCCAGGCCACCCTTAAGTTCTTGTCCTTTTGCTGTATTTCTTCTTATTCTTATTTCAGAATATCCCAAAGAGGGATCCAGGGATCACATGGAAGCCTTGGCAGCTTCCAGCTCTGACAATAGTTTGGGGGAGGTACTGCCCACCTGGCAGCTGAGCTCCCCTCCTGGCTTTGATCTGATTTTGACCTCTTCTTCCCACAGACAGTAACTTCCTACTAGCCAATGCACAGGGCCCAAGGGGCTTTCCCATCGTCTATTGCTCTGACGGCTTTTGTGAGCTCACAGGTTACGGGCGCACCGAGGTAATGCAGAAAACGTGCAGCTGCCGTTTCCTCTATGGTCCAGAGACCAGTGAGCCAGCCCTGCAGAGGCTTCACAAGGCCCTGGAGGGCCATCAGGAGCACCGGGCTGAAATTTGCTTCTACCGGAAGGATGGTGAGGGGACTGGCCTGCCCTGAAGCCCTACCCAGACTCCAGGATTTACCCAAAGTCCACTTGGCACAGTGAATACCTGGGTGCTGGTCCCCGCACTGCCACAAGCTGTATGACACTCATGTATCCCTAACCCCCTCTGGGCCTTGGTTCACCCATCTAGAAGATGAAGAAGTCGGCTAACATAATATCTGGGTTCTTTCCAGCTCTAAACTTTTGCCAAACCTTTTGACTATGCCCAGGAGCCAAGGGGGGTTAGGGATGCCATAGGTCGCTCACTTGCCCCCTCCATGTTTCCACACATACAGGCTCAGCTTTTTGGTGTCTCCTGGACATGATGCCCATCAAGAATGAGATGGGGGAGGTTGTGCTTTTCCTCTTTTCCTTCAAGGACATCACTCAGAGTGGAGGCCCAGGACTTGGTCCCTCAAGAAGCCATGGGGACAGTAATCATGGTAACTGCAAGTCTGGGGAGAAGGTGCAAATGGTCAGAGGTCCTTGCCCAAGGTCACACAGACCTCT